TTGCCCTCACAATATTCATTCTTTATACTGTTGGTAAATTGCTTCAAGATTATTTGAGGCCTCTCTTATGGGCTGTCCTTTGTTCGATACCTTTGAGGGGAATTCAGCATGCTCTTGTTGCATTCTGGTCCGAACCTCTAAAACTAGGCCTCACAGAGACCATATTAGCCGTCCCCGTAGCTGTATTCAGGGTTTCAGTTGGAACTCTTGTTGAGATTAAGGATATGATATACAGAGTTGTTCATAGGAGGGAGAAACAACATAACGCTTTAAGGCGTCATAGAAGTGGATTTTTTATATTGTTGAGATGGCTCGTGTCGTTTTGGGTGTTTGTGATTACATGTGAGCAGATTGGTGGTGTTGGATCAGTAGCTCTTCTTGCATTTGGATTCATGTTCACAGCTAATAGTGTGGACTCTACTATCAATGTTGTGACATCTCTTAGAAGTCAGAGCTTTCGGAGACTCCCTATAACTGCTTTCTTTACTCGAGGGATATTGAAAAAATTGAAAACCATTGTGGCTATCGGATTGATTCTTGGATTGATTCTTGGATCGTTGGCAGGTATGATTTTCTTCTCTTACAAAATTGGAGTCGAGGGGAAAGATGCAGTTTTCGCATTGAAATCCCATGTAGAGGAGAGCAATTATGCTGAGAAAATTGGTATAAGGAAATGGATTGATGAACATGATGTCCCGGAAATGGTTAATAAGTACAGTAATCAGTTGTGCCAGACTGTACTTGATCAGATAGATAGCTATGCTATGCAATATAATATGACTGAGTTTGTTTCGGGTATCAAGCAATTTGTAATAACCCCCGCGAATAACTCTTCTGAACGGTCCACAGCTTTGGCATCCCGCTCTCCATATACTAAGAAGATCCTGAGCCTAAAAAGGAGAATTAAGGATCTTGAATGGGGGCAAATATACACAGAAGTTGATGCAATTTTTCGGGAATTGTTGATCACTAGAGTGGACTTAGTTGAAAAGGCGAAAGGATTTGCTCAACGTGTACTTGTTAGTAGCAAATCCGTTTTAGGTGGTAGTGTGAAGGTTATATTCTTGATTGGGAACTCCATAGTATCAGGAGCTGCAGGGCTTTTCAATTTCATGTCTCAGTCGATATTATTTTTTTGGGTGCTTTATTATCTTATCACAACAGAGTCTGGTGGAGTAACAGAACAAGTTATATGTATGCTTCCCATTTCGCGTTCTGCAAGGACTCGTTTTATTGAGGTTCTTGATAAAGCTATTTTTGGAGTTCTTTTAGCAACTGCTGAGATTGCCTTCTTTCAAGGATGCTTAACTTGGCTCTTGTTCAGATTATCTTCGATACATTTTTTGTATATGTCAACTGTCCTTGCTTTCGTTAGTCCTTTGTTTCCTATATTCCCCTCATTGGTTTCGACTATCCCAGCAGCTTTACAGTTGGTTCTTGAAGGTCAATATATGTTGGCCATTAGCTTATCCATTATTCATCTTGTGCTTATGGATTTCGGTGCATCTGAAATTCAAGAGGATTTCCCCGGTTATAGTGCATACCTCACCGGTCTCAGCATTATTGGTGGCGTGACATTGTTTCCTTCAGCAGTTGAGGTAATTAACAGACATCTTTCTGTTACATTTCATGGCATTGCATTTCGTATATATTCAACTTGAATAACCCTTCTCTTTGATATAGTGTTACGCTTCTTGATATGTGTCAATTCTTGATTGTGTATGTTATTCAGGGAGCGATAATGGGGCCATTAATAACAACGGTTCTCATTGCAATCAAAGATTTGTACGTTGAGTTCGTTTTGGAAGGACAAGAGGAATAAGTATAACAAATATAAGTTTCTAATGCCTGGTGTGATCCTCAGAAGCCATAAGGAGAGTGTTGCAACTTCGTTTGATTGGGGCAATGTTGTATGCCTGAACGTCTTCGCGATTGAAGTTTTGTTATGTCCCCTGCCTGCATCATATCAATGTTCAACCCAAAAATGGCTCGAGGTTTAATTCTTTCTACAAAAAAATGATCTGTTAATTTGTGTACACAAATTGCTAGTTTTGTGGCTAATGGCTAGTTAGTTGCAAGTAGGTTATACACTTGTGTTATTATATATTTCTGAACGTTAGTTTGATTTCATGAAGAGAGAGTTAGTTTAATTGTCTTCAACATTTCTGATGCAGCAAATAGTTAAAGTTTTACATTCACAAATCATTAATTGAACTGTAGCAAATTGAACTCTGTACAAGCTCTATATGAACTAGACTCATTCTCTGGGGCAGCGCTATCATTGTCCCAAGGGGTTTCAAGCGACACTCGTTTGTCGAAAAGATAGATCAACTTTAAGATGTATTTTAGATTGCGATCTTCTGTGCTATTAAATTTTTAAATATAAATAAATATAGAATTTGAACTAAATTATCATCGTGGCTGCTCATGACAAGAGCTTTCCTCTTAGGTCGACAAAAAATAAAATAAAATAGGAATTTCACAGAGGGTTGTCCAAAAAAATGAAAAAAAATAAAAATTGTTGCTAGTGAGATTCAATAAAACAAGAATTTCACAAAGGATGTCAAAAAAAGGTGGAAAAAATTGTTGCTAGTGAGATTCAAACATGTGACTTGTGAGCACCCTAAGCACTGCCTCTTTCAAGACATCTAAAACTACTGGGCCACAACACATTATTTCTATTAAAGGTGTCTAAAATATGTTACTCTTTTAATTACTTTGTATACTATTTTACTTATATATATGGTATTATTTTTCGACGATTGGACAGCCCGACTATAACATAGCTATGCCCTGCTTTTGAGTTGTGATCCGTCTATCTTACCAACCGTACGTGGCTCTTCAACTATTTTGGGTTGCAAAACTATGAAAACTTGAAACCGAAGCATTATAATTTTCGAGTAGAAGCAAATTGTTCTTTCATGGTATGCCCAAAGATAACATACCCGTTGTTTTCATATTTTGTCCTAAATTTTTTATTTTATAAAATTACCCAAAATTTTATTTTATCAAATATTATTTATCAAAAACAATAACCAAACACAACTTCATTTTCAAAATTTTTAAATATACTAAAAATTATTTGTAATAGTATGTGTATACAAGATCTAATCTATGACACTATGTGTCTATCTATTACAGTATGAGATATCTTTAATTGTAATTTCAGATAAATTAATCAAGACTTCAAGTTCTATAGTTTTTTCAATTAAGGGTGATAAACATATTTTGTTAAAATATATTTACATTTTAAATAGATTATTTTTTTTGCAAAAATGATTAAACACAACTCTAATCCTAACTTAAATTTTTTCCAAATAAAGTAAATAATATTTAATTTTCATAATAAACGACATTAAAAAGTAATTATTCTTTTTTAAGTAAACTAAAAATAAAGCAGGTTCATGTAAAGTGAAACATGGGATTTGGGAATAATCATTTGAACTTATGGAAGTACCAGTGATATGACAGTAGCGGCAATAGATGTTAAAGCAATTGTTGTTGCTTCACCGATCAGAATTATGGTGAAGTGGTAAGTACTCTTTTATCTTTAATTAGAGATCTCAACTTCAAATTTCATCAAGTATCCTTTAATATAGAACTTTCCTATGCAAATTCAAATTTAATCGTGGAAACAAAGAAAAGTTTGTTGCTGCCTCAACATGACAAAAGGATAAAGTTGCTTTCACGGCTTGTTTGATTAGGTAGCCAACTGCCATATCGGCTTGTTTGATAGTCAATCTGTTGCCAGAATTTCCAAAATATATGTTTTTTTTGTTAAATTCATTTGTCTTATTCTGATTTATGCAAAATTTAATAAATTGAATCTGTGGTAAATGGAAGATATGTGTAATATATTAAATTTTTCTTTAATTTTATAGTCTTAAATGTGTTATCTGAAAAGTTGAAATTTAAAAAATTATCAAAAAAAAACATTCTTTTTAAAGCAGACTAAAAAAGAAACCTCTGTGAGTAGTTTTTTGACACTTTTGGTTTTAAAAAATGAAACATTCCTTTATTTGACAAATTTTAGTGACATTATCAATATTTTACTTATGTGGTATCTTATTTATTTGGTAAAAAAATCACAAAAATGTACTCTTTTATTTAAAATTTTATTTATTTTAAGGGAAAATTTTGAAACATTACAAATTTCCACATATTTCTTAAATTTGGTGTACAATCAAAATACATCACCTAGCATTTCTGTAATAAAAATCAAATGGAACGTTAACATCAGGAAAAATAAAATAATATATATATATAGGTTAATAATTAATCATTAATTGAATCTTTATTTGGAGTGATGTCCATTTGAAGAACCACATTGAGTTGCTTGGATCCAAAATAAACAAAAAAAATAAAAAAATAAAATAAGAAGTTAGGCAAATGGTTATACTTGCATTGTCACTCCCTTAAAATTTTCACTTGAAATCGAAGCAATAGCCAATAGCTCACCCTCACCCTCACCCACCACCATCTCAACCCATACCTCCAATTTCTCCTTTAATTCGTCACTAATAATTAAATTTGTTGTAGTATCTAAGTATTTTCCAAGTTATTCAAGAGTATAGTAATCACTTGTCTCTTGTCAGCAGTGGCGGAACCAAGATTTTCATCAAGATAGTTCAAAATATGAAAGAATCTAAATAAGCACACGAACTAGCCAAAGAGGGTTCAACATCTGTTATATATATTCTACCGCAAAATTTGAAAGCATGGGAATCTTGTGCACAAACTTTTTCAGTGATCACTGACTCATGATCATTGCACATATATAGTTAGTTATAACTGAATTAAACACAACTTCCATGCCTACAACTTGAAACTTCTTCGAAATTTCTCCGGTAAAAACACTCATTCCATCTAGCTAGCTTCTACTTTTAGCTAAGTACTCTTGTTGATCAAGTTTTTACACTATTGATCAATGCAACTCAATCCATTGTTTCCGCGGTTATGTTGACCTGATAGTGTAAAAAAAGTTACTAAATTCTCTTTCAATGAATACCCGCCGCTACTTTCTTACACCAATATCACTTTGCCATTCGAGCATCGTTGTATCTTTTCCATCAATTTCACCATCAACAACAGCAGTATCAGTAGGAGGAAGCAATTATGCAGGTGGAAATAGAAACAGGTATACTCGCGCTTCAAATATTCCTGACTCTTCATTCTTGATAAGAATGGCAATGAGAATATCAAGAGCAAAGTGGTTCATTTTCCTAAGAAGAGTTTTCCATTACCAAAATGGATATTCAAGATCTGATCTTGGATCGAACCCGTTCAATTCAATAACTTGGATGATGATGGAGTGTATATCATTAAGTATCCAAATAATTCTGAGTGTATATACACTCTCTGTTTCAAAAGACGAGAAACCAGTTTGGCCAATGAGGATATGGGCGTTTGGATACGTCTTTGGCTGTATACTTAGCGTCCTCCTGCTTTATTCGCGCTACTGGGCATTCTACATAAGGCCACAAAGACATGATTCTGACACGGAGCAGCAAAGAAGCAGCCACGATGATCAATCCAGGTGATGATTTTATTAATTATACTCATAATCAATGTGACACCCAATGAATTTCAAATTTCAAAATAAAACTATCTGAACGTACAAATTTGGATATATAGGGCATCGTCATTACATATGATAGAGAAATTCAAGACTAGTATGGAGCTATTCTTTGCGATATGGTTCGTGATGGGGAATGTTTGGGTGTTTGAATCGCGGTTATTAATGTCATACCATCGCGCTCCTAAACTTCACTTGCTCTGCATTTCTCTCCTTACTTGGAATGCAGTTACCTATTCATTCCCATTCATATTGTTTCTATTGCTCTGTTGCTGTGTCCCAATGTTGAGCACATTTCTAGGCTACAATATGAATATGGCATCTGTAGATAGAGGAGCTTCTGATGAACAACTCTCCACTCTTCCAAGCTGGAAATACAAATCAGAAATTGGAAACAAGGAAGAAGACCTCACAAATTCTGCTCTGCAAAATGAAAATTCCGTAAGTTATTATAGCAGATAATTTGTCTTATTCATTCTGATAGTTAATCCAACCTTTTTTTATATCAACAATCACCTATAGTTATCTTTTAAGTGACCTGATCAATGTGAAAGATGTCTTTTACATTGTTAATGTACGAAAGTACTTAAATTCGAATTAAGTGTCCATTTGGATAAACTTGTAAAAAAATTGGCGCATTTTGACAATGTACTTGGGTCAATTATACTGCAAGTAATTATCTAATAATTTATTTATTTTTTACTCAATGGATCGAAGTAATTTAAACTTCTTTTTAAAAAATAATGCATAAGAGAGAAGGAAGGGAAAATATAAAAGAGATTACAAAGCGGAAAAATGAACTCTCACCAACAAGATGAAAGTTTATATGACCAATTAACTAAAATACTATTAGATTTCTCCAATATACTATATAAAAGTTAAACTCTACATCTAAAAATTTAATTTATATACATTGACAATGTAAATAAATTTTATACTATTATTGTAATTTAAGTTGTCGTTGTTGATAATTAACCTATCTTATTTCTTAGATTACAAATTTCATTTTTAAGGACTATAATATTTTGTAAAATTTTAAAAGTGAAAGTAAATTAACAAGTTATTGTGTGATGTTTATGTAACAGGAATGTTGTATTTGTTTAGCCAAGTATGGAGATAAAGAAGATATTAGACAATTGCCTTGTTCTCATATATTTCATCTCAAGTGTGTTGATCAATGGCTTAGAATTATATCTTGTTGTCCTCTATGCAAACAACAACTAGAGAGGTAAAGATGCAACAAAGCTCCTCATGAGCCTCAATGTATTTTTATCCCTTTTTTATGGAGATGAAATTTTCATATATACCCAATATGTACTACATTATACACTTGAAAAACAGAAAATGTAATTACGATTAACTAGAAATATGTGCATTATTAAGTGAGAGCTTTTTAACATAAGAAATACAAAAGCAACAACTCAAACTTCCACACAGAATTTTGTAGTACATGCAACCTAAAATGCCTTTCAATTATTTGAATTGGTAAAAATTATCATCCGTTCACTTTTCGGCCCTCAAATATTTCTAACGTCAACCTTTTAGCTAAAAATAAGGGCAAATACGAGTCAAAGGATTAATATCAAGAATATTTTTTAGCCTAAAAATTGATGTAAGGGATATTTGAGGGTTGAAAGAATGATAGTTTCAGAACCGGATCTTGCTTGAAAATTTTAAGGAATATGCCTTAGACCCCAATTTTTGGGGACTCGAATTTTTAGCAAAACCAAATTAAGTAAAAAAAATTATATTATTTTATTCCTCTCAACCCCATTCAAATAGAAGAAAGCAACAAAATATTATTTTGTCATCTTACCTTCTCTTCGCTAACACTCACATTATTATTATTTTTTTTAGCTCCTTTAATTTCTTCAAATCTTTGAAAAGTTAGACTAATACTTTGTCAAAAATATGAATTGATAGTCGAAAAAAGTTAAACAAAGTATTACAAATTATTTTTTATTTCTTTTTAAATTTTCAAGCATTAAAACAAATTTATCAATGTAAGGTATAAAAAATTATCAATTTTTTGAATCAAATTGTATGGTTCTAACTCTTATCTTTATAAAACGTTTATCAATTTATTACTCATAAAATTATATTAACAATTCATATAATGATTACATTAAAAAATATTTTTCTAACGGTTGAATTGATAAAACCTGAAAACAACAAGGTATTCAAACAATTCATTCATAAAAAAAATAAAATTAAGTAATAAATTCCATCTAAAAAGTTAGAAATAAAGAGCAACTTTCACATATAACAAACATAAAAATCATATTTGTATGTTATAGCTATAGTTTGCATAATTGCGCTCCATAACAATTTTTATGTTTGTTATGGAGCTTTTGATTTGTATAATTCGCTAGATACATCCAATTTTATACAAATTATTCAGTTTTGTATAAATTCATTTATACATTGTAATTTGTATAATAAGATCTGTATTTGTATAATTATAAGTGTATAGGACGAAAATATATGTATTTGTATTTGTATATACACTTTTCTCTCGCTTTATACAAACAAAAACACATTTTATACATTTGTATACCGAATGGTAATTGTATATCGAACCAAATGGCAAAAAAATGTGATGTTTGCTGCGAATTACAAATAAAATAAACAATGACTATAACATTTAATTTGAATTAATAGTTTGTTATTTCATACAATTTTCATAAATAAATACATACAAAGTTTATTTAGATTTCAGCCCTCTAATTAAAATTTAACTTTAGGCCTCCAATTATGTTGAACAAATAATTCAAACCTAACGATCAGTATCAATCAATGATTTCCTCATCTCATCAACAATAGCAGTAGGTTGAGCTTCTCTAAGCTTGAAAACACGTTCAATAACAGACACCTCTGTTGCAGTAGTGTTTGATCCAGTAAATCCAGTCCAGTCATTAACAATCAATCCAGCAGCAATCGCTTCACTACCGCGATTCACTGTTCCTGCAATGAACGGAACCTCGAGAAGAGTTGAAAGCTCATACAAGTCTTCAACAGATGTATGAGGATGTACTAAGCATCCCGCGTTTGAAATAGCACAATAGCTACCAACAAGAGTATTCCCTGCTATTGTTTGCCTGAAAACTTCGACACCAAGTATATCACCAATCATCTCTTCAGTTTCATCATCGAGATCCGTATGCATCATAGCAACATTATCGTTACACGCTATGCAATTTCCTAGGGCAGATAATCGCTCATCAATGCGACGAACGACAACTCCGTCCGGTAGACTGTTTCTCAAGTGATGAAATTCTTCATCTGTAGTAGTGTGAGGTAGGAGAAGACCGTTTTTGTTTCCGGCGCAGAGTCTTCCGATTATCCTCGTTCCTCCGATTGAGGTTTTGATTACTGGAATAATGTGTGATAGCTCAGATTCAAATGTGTTGTAGAAGTTTTCAGATCCGCCAGTAGGTAACAAACAATATGCATTAGTTAGCTTTGAAAAAACTCCAATTTCAGATGATTTTTCAAATTGAAGCCTAGTAGCCATTGTTAGGAGCTTGGAAGATGATTGGATTTGGGAGAAAAAGATTTTTTAGCTGTAAACGTAAATTTTTGGAGAAGAGGGAAGGAAGGAATAAATAGAGAAAGTAAGGGCGAAATAAAATACTAAGATTTGGGTATTTTTTAAGTCCAAATTCTAAAAGGATTTGGCCCACCGATTTGCTTGAACCCCAAGTATGTCTTCCTTCCCTTTCTCGGACATCTCCGATTCTATTCTTTATTTTACTCTCCATATATAGAACTTTTTATTTTTGGACACAATTAACTTGACCTCTCTAAAAAGGAATGTTTTTCTTTCTGCTCTATACTACCTTCGTTCGTTCTTATATGTCATTTTTACTATAACTAGTTGGTTTATAATAGTAATAGACGTGTCTCAATCCGAAACAAGTTGGAGTCTGTTGTATGAAGCGTCCAAGTCTATTACGGTCTATTGATGGTGAAAATTCCACAACAAGAAGTATAATTCAATCCACAAACTAGTTGGGACTATTAGACTTATTTACTAAATATAGACTTAACATTAACTTATTATTTCGTTTACCAAAATGGGCAAGGTATTAATAGTTAGTGGACAAGACCCGAGCTATATATTTATGTGGATTTCATGATGGACCTGTATCATTTCATGTACTAGGTGTGGGCCGACGAAAGCGTAGGCCTATTGGAGATCGAACAGTGACCTTGTATTTGGGAGGCCCACTAGGTTAAGACTTTTAAGCCTATATATATGGCGCTAGGTCCTCTCTCGTGGCTAAACCTAAAACATTTCCCCATAGTTTTCCGCCCTCATTAACCGAAGGAGAGAAAACTCGGCCGAAGTTTAATTTGTCTTAATTGTGCGTTGCTATGGCGTAAAGGTACACTCTCTTTTTGCGAATTTCATTATTTTATAGGTGTTCTTCATATATCTGATTAATATCGTTGTATTTCTCGATTAATTTAATACTTGATAGAAGAAAAAATTACATAGGTCTAGAACCATTTTAATTGATCATCAGACGAATAGATTAAAATATTACTATTATTGTAAACTGGATCGCATTTGAGATTGCATCTTAAACCCTAAAACAAAGATAAATGTTACTTTATTAGAATGATATTCAATTAATCAAGTTCAAAGTTTATTTCGATTTGGAATTCTTAAATTCTTGACAGTAATTGTATGCTACAAGATCTCTGACTTTTGGTCCCTTCATCTTTTTGAATCGAGACCCAACCCAGCTCGCGTCGTCCCAACAATCGGTGAGGAGTACCTTAGTACACGATCGTGCGCAGTAACTAGGAGTCCTATTACACCTAAGACAATGTGCGTTGCTATGGCGTAATGGTACACACTATTTTTTTTTGCGAATCATTTTTTTTATAGGTGTTCTTCATATATGTAATTAATATTGTTGTGTTTCTCAATTAATTTAATACTTGATATCATAAAAAAATTACATAGGTCTAGAAGCCTATTAATTGTTCATTAGATGAATAGATTAAACTTTTACTATTACTGTAAACTGGATCGCGTTTGAGATTGCATCCTAAACCTTAAAACAAAGATAGTAATGCGGCAATGTTCTGTTTTCCTTGCACTCTGTATGCAGATGTTACCTTATTAAAGTGATATTCAATTAATCTAGTTCAAAGTTTATTTTGGTTTTGGAATTCTTAAGTTCTTGGCAATAATCGTATACTACAAGTTTTTGTCTTTTGAGCCCTTCATCTTTTTTAATTAAGACCCGGCTGAGGAAAACTTATTCCCTATACAAGAACTATGGTCTTGTTAGTTTGCCTAAATAAAGAAGCAACACAATAAAATAGAGATTTTACCGTGGAAACCTTACTCCTTCAAGGAAGGGAAAAACCACACCACAATTTTATTACCTTCAAGAACAATTCAAGATTACAACTCAGAGTTACCTTTACTCTCTATCGATTAACTATATTCGAAGAGTCTACTCTCCAAGAAGCAAAACCTACTTCTTGTTACAATTCTCTCGCAACTCTCTCACACACTCGGAACACTAATTCTTCAGCAATGCTTTTAAGATGAAATATTGCAACTACCCTTGAGAAAAAAAAACCTAACTCTAGTTCTTCTTTCTTCTCGTCTTTTTAATCTCTTTGAATCACTATGCCTTTCCTGAAGATTCTCTCAATTTGTTATTGCAAAAGTCAATTTTTCTTTATTTGACTTCTACCTTTTATAGATGTGGATTCAGCCTTAGTCGACTTCTACAAGGAAAGAAATTAGTTTTTCCTAAAAAAATATTATTTTTCCTTATAGGACTTGTTATCCTTCCCTTTTCGCATAAGTTTCATCTGGCTTTTATTCTTCTCCTTATTTGACTTGGATTGTTGATTTAAATATGTTTCCTATTGCATATATGTTTGTGGAATCTTTTCTCACTCTTTTTATTTTATGTCTGCTACATGCTTGTGAACCTGGTTCATATTGTCATCACTAAAAGCTATTGGAATGTTTTGACACGTCTCATCAATTTCTCTCTTTCTGATGATGACAAATATACTTTTTCCTGCACCTGTTTCAACAGAACACACTCTTCCCCCTTTTGACATATAAAAAAGAAGGGTAAAGTAAAAAATAAATAGCTTAGGAACATAACAAACTCAGAGCCTTAAAGGCAAACACTCAGGACAAAGATAGTAACAATCTAAACGAGATGCAAAGATAGCAATCATGCAGGGATAATGAGCTAATCAAAACATAATATACAATGTTTTAAACTCAAAAAGAGCTCCAACGCAACATCCAAAAATACAAAACACAAGAAGCAACAAGATTGTCTCAAAAAAAGTAAAAAGGACAGTCTGGTATAAGGGTTTAGGACGAGGAAGGAGGAGGGGTGTGAGATAAAGCCAAGAGCTACAACATACGATCCACTCAAGCATTGTTATCCTGTTGTTGTTGCAGTAACTGGTCCTTCAATCTAGCTACTTCCCCTGCGACTCAACCTAGTTAGTGTGAAGAGTCTCAATTTCAGCAAGGATGGTAGCATTCTGTTCCCTAGCAACATGAAGATCATTGAGAAGGATGACAACTGGGCCAGTAGCCCTGGGAGCAGTAGCAGAACCTGATCGTTATTATCAAGTAGTCTGCAGTTATCAAGAGTAGACCTGGTAAGCATATCCTTCATGTACAAACCAAACTTCAAAAGCTTTAAATATAATGGTAAGGAGGTTTCCAAAAGCCAAGTGATGGGGACCAACCACTCGTGCCATGTGTTTTATCATGACAGAGGGTCAGTCAATAAGTACTTTGTTTTCCAAGGCATTGGCTATCACCATATCCTTAAAGGATACCTCATGGCGTCTTCCCCCTTAGGCAGAACCCCCTTGTGCACTAATTCGTACATCAGTTTGTGAAAGGATGTCATTTCCCCCTTGAGCACTTTCAAGGTCATGCAGTGACCCGCCCTTGAGTGTATTTAGACATGAGCATACTGTTCTCATCCTTAGTCCATACATATTCAGCTAAACCAACAGTGGGGATATGAAAAACTTTACTAAGACGGACAATATCAAAAACCAATTCAACCCCATCCATTTCTCCCTTTCAACACTTCATAAGGAGTTTTGTTCATTACTGATCGGATCATACATCTATTGATTAAGTAATATGACTGCCTCAACCCAATATGACTTTGGGAGATTACTTGATATTAACATGGTTCACAAAATATCTTTCAAGGTTCTATTTTTGCGATCAACTACACCATTTTATTGTGGTGTTCTTGGTGCAGAGAAGTTGTGATCAACACTATTTTGGCACACAATTCAGAGAATTTTGAATTTTCAAACTCTGATCCATAATTTGAATGAATGTTAATGAGTTCACAGTTAAACTTCTTTTAAACCAGTTTCACGAAAATTTCAAACATATCATATATCTCATCTTTAGTTGTAAGAAATATGGTCCAAGTGAATCTCGTGTAGTCATCCACAATTACAAAAACATATCTTTTTCTTCCTGACGTTACACGCGCATTGGTCCACATAAACCCATATGAAGTAATTGTAAGGGCTTGGTTGTACTTACTGTTGCTTTTGGTTTGAATGAGGATTTCACAAGTTCTACTTGAGCATATGCTCCGCAGACTTGATTATCATTGAATCTCCTAGTGGGCAACCCTTTGACTAAGTCTTTTGATATGAGCTTGTTCATTGTTGAGGAACTGATGTGTCCTAGCCTTTTATGCTAGGGGAGAGAGCTTTCAATAATAACAGTGAGATATTTTAGCGATTTCTCTTTAGGACTCATGATGTCAGCTTTGTATATATTCTTATGCCTCTTTCCAAAAGAACCGATGAGATTGAACACTCTACATTCATTTGAGGTAAACAACACATTGTTTCCTTTGTCACACATTTGGGACACACTCAATAGATTGTGTTGTAGTCCCTTTACGTTGTACACATTTTCTATTGCTTGAGTGTGATTGGGACCAACCTTTCTGATTCCCTATATTTCACAATTTTTTCTGTTTCCAAATGCTATGTTGCCACCTTTGAAGTTATTCAGTGAGAGGAAGTTATTTTTGTCACCAGTCATGTGTCTGGAGCATGCACTGTCTCATGAGCTATTAATTTGTTATGGCATGCATTACTCTTATGTACTGTTAGCCCATAGTGAATGCATAGACAATCTTTGTTAGGATTCTTATTTTCAATAGACTTCTTGTTGAATCCTATTCCATGTCTAGTGGGGGATTGACCCTTTTCGATGCTATCATACATGATGGAGGATCTTGTCCATCTCATATTATGCGCTGCTTCCATCTTATTGGTATGAAGCTCTTTGTAGAAAACTTCATTCCTTTTAGTCATGCTTAGCTATTGTGAATTCAAGAACAAGAACACATTCAAATCACATAAGCAAGTTTAACATGTAAAGAAAAATAAGTAAGCCAATAAATGCTAAAAAGAATATAAGTGATCATGAGTGACTCAAAACGAGGACCACTTATTTTTCTTGCTATTCGAATGTTGTTACAGAAAAC